GATTTAATGAAGTCTTAATCTAATTAGCTTCGTTCTTTATCCAATTTCTGCATTAATTCAACTCCTTAATTGCTTTTGTCTTTTTTAACATCAACGTAACAATCAGATTTTTTATGCATGTAGGGGCCGAGTTTGTTTGAAATTATGATTAACTTATCAATTCCCAAATTAAGGCCATGTTTGGTCCACATTATTTTTTTTATTCTCATTCTTCTACTCATTTTCAACCACACATTCTTCAATAAAATAATATTTTTCATCACATCAATAACTTTTCCTTTTTTTTCAACCACATATTCTCCATANCTCCCATCGTATATTCTCTAATCGTAAGCTTCCCCCTCACTCTATGAGTAGTGGGGGACGGTTTTGAAGGGTTAAATAAGTTATAAGTGGGCGTCATTATGCCTATAACTAACTAGATTAGGATTTAATTAAGTCTTAATCTAATTAGCTTCGTTATTTATCCAATTTCTGCGTTAATTCAACTCCTTAATTGCTTTTTTCTTTTTTAACATCAACGTAACAATCAGATTTTTTATGCATGTAGGGGCCGAGTTTTTTTGAAATTATGATTAACTTATCAATTCCCAAATTAAGGCCATGTTTGGTCCACATTATTTTTTTCATTCTCATTCTTCTACTCATTTTTAACCACACGTTCTTCAATAAAATAATAATTTTCATCACATCAATAATTTTTCCTTCCTTTTCAACCACATATTCTCATCACATCAACGGTAAAAATACGTTCTTACCTTTAAAATGTGCACCAAACGGGGGCTAAATACATCTTATCCATGAAGACGGTCAAGAGGGCATGGAAAGATATTTTTTTCCTCCTCATATTTTAAACAAGTTAAATTTAATATATGTAAAAGTTGGACAAAATTTTGTCCCTCGTTTTAAGTGTGTGTTTGGTAGGGATTTTTTGGGGGAAGAATTGATTTTGAATAGTGATATGATAGGAAATGTGTGGTTGAAAAAGAAGATAAGATTATTGATGTGATAGAAAATATTCTTTTATTGAAAAATGTGTGATTGAAAATGAGAATTGATTTACTGTTGAAAATGAGAATTGGTACCAAACATAGCCTAAATTACGTTAACAGAATAGGATGGTGCACCAAATAAAAAAGTTACTCCAACATGAGTCTTTAATTAATGTAAGGTTTTACCAATTTTCGCTACTTGGATGGAATTTATCTTTTTGTCGGTCAAAAGCATAATTTTTATTTGTGCTTGAGTCCTTAAAATTTGAAAAACTACAGATTTGTTACAAATTAGAAAGAAAATAGATAGAAGTCAATAGACTTGTTTTTATTATAATGAAAATCAAAACCTCAAATTTATAAGAAATGATTAGGATACAATATTAATAATTTCTAGAGCTGTAGATGTACAATTGCCATTAACTAATAAATTTATCATTTACAACACTCCCCCTTGAAATGACACTTTACAAAATATATGTTTCATTAAAATTTTGTTTGATAAAAATTTAATGGGACAAAAAAATAAATGAAGGAAAAGGAGTACAGTTATTTTGGAGTATGAATGATAAATGTTGTCTCATTAAAACATTGCTAAAAAATCCAGTGGGATAAAATCTAAGCGAAAGAAAAAAAGGTACAACTACCCCTATGATATTGATCACTGAAAGTTTTTGAGTTAACGCATTCTAATATCATGAACTAATTTTTTGAATGTAGATGTTTGCAGTGATTTTGTAAATAAATCAATCGTATTGTCACTTGAGCGAATTTATTGAACATTAATGTCGTCATTCTTCTAAATCTCATGTTTATGAAAGAATTTTGAATAAATATACTTCGTTCTGTCGCATTTGATATAACATAATTTGAGTTGTGCAATACAAGAAGCAATGTCTTCGTACAAAATTGTTGGACTATCTTTTGTTGAAGTTAATCTGCATGATACTTAGATGTGATGGATTCTCTTCCTCAACCATACAATTTTCAACCTGCTTCATGGATTACAATAATTTCAGAATGATTTGAGAATGTTGTCGTCAATTATTGTTTCACACATTTCCATGATATAGTTGTTCCTCCACATGTAAACTCATATCTTGTTTATAATTTAGTTTTGTGTGAGTCAGAGAGATAATCTGCATCTGCATATCCCACTAAAGCAGATCTCGACTTTTGAGAATAAAATAATCTCAAATCGATAGTACTTTAGGTAACAAAAAATATGTTTAACACCATTTCAATATCTTTGAATAGGTGTAAAGCTATATCTTGCAAGGAAATTTACA